TCAGAGGCTTTTTTTGGTCTCCCGATTTGATTTGGATCTGGTGATTTGGCCTCCAAATTGAGCCGAACCTTCTCCAAATCAAATTGGCGACTGAAGCTTCGCAACCCCCTAATGACAACGAGCTTGGCCAGCAAAATAATGGAAGCAATTGACTTGTCCAGTTAAATCAGTCATGAGTTTCAGTGAAATAGAGCACAGGACCTTTCATTTAAGTATCTAAATATACTAAATCATACCTTCAGCTTATATAGTAATGATTAGTATAACCAAATGCTGGTTATGCTATGTCTGGTCACTTGTGTGCCACCTCCTGAACCACTGCTGTTTCCTTCTCTGAGTGGTTAGAATCTCTATTATGCTGTAATATTTCATGGGGTAGCTTGATGGGTATTGGATTATGTTCTTGTACTTTTGAGGTGTGACAGTAAAAGGTCAGGCTATAGATGCATCTTTCTTGCCTCTTCTGACTGGATGATGATAATTAAGGAAATTGTAGCTGTATCTTTTGTGCCCAAGATTACAAATGAGGTCCTGATCACTGATGGGCTGTAGTCTTGTCTCTCCAGAGACTGAATGGTAATGATTTTTCTGGTAACAGTACATTACAGTGTTCCACAGCATACCCTCAGCATGTTTTCCTAATGGCTTATCTTCTAAGACAACTGCTGAGCTTCTAATCTTGTGAAGAGCTTCTAAGACTCCTACTGATCAAGTCTGAATAAAATTTCTCTGTTGCATGTCAGGGTGAAGAGTTTTAGACTTACCTGCTCTTGTAGACAACATGGTTGAGGGAAACCCATTTGATCTTTGATATGTAACATTATCAAACAGCAGAAATATCGAAATTCCTAATTCTATTTACATGCCAGTAGAAAAAATATTTATCTCCCCAAATACAATAGTGCTTGTATGATGCTGTTCAGAATCTTTCAGATTTTAGTACCCAACTCTGCCACTTTCAAATAGCTTAACTGTAATTGTACTGCATATGTCCTTCTACTGCTGCAAGGCATACACCCTGCTCATTTCAGTGTGGCACTTTAATCTCATTTGGAAGGCACATTTTGAACTATTATTGTATATTTGAGCTTTATATCTTTTTACATTGCTGCTTATATCTTAAGGTGTCTAAAACTGTACTTTGAAACCAAGCATTGATGTGGGTATTGACAGAATTGGATACTACCAATAGCAGTTAAGATTATCCCAGTATGTGAAATATACCCAGGAGGAAAATGGCTGGAAGAACCTTTTGAAGCATTTTCAGCCCCCTTTCACTGAGCATTCAAGGCTAATTGTTTCTAGTTGTTTTTCATGCCCAGTAGTATTGATATAAAAATGCCTCTTTTCAGATGTTTGCATTGCATGTGCTCAGTATTGAATTAGTAGTGATAAGCAGATGGCCATAAGTAGACTTTATTAAGTGAGGCTACTCCAAAGAAGATTTGAATGAGGTTTGCAGTGCCCTCTTCAATGAACATGTGAGCATGGATAGTCAGATGCTCCATATTTTCAGTTGTCCAAATTCACCCCATCTAATTAATTCATCTTTAATCTCCATTACCCTCAAACTTTTCTTCCTTCAAAGCATTGATGTGGTAATGTTTTTAAAGCATGGTGTTTGTTCTTTTTTAAAACATACAAAATAGATCCAATTCATCTGCCTTGTCTTGCCCACATGGAGATTTTGGCTTCTGTTGTCTTTCTTCAGCCTGATAAAAAAAACAGTTTTCCCTTTCTATCCATAGCTGATAAGTCAAAGCAGCACTTGGGTAAAATTCTCACTTGGAAATTCTCACTTTATTTGGTTAGTAGAAATGAAAAGGTTTAGAAAATAAGTCCATTTCATATCCTGATATAAAACACTTCTGAATGGATAAGAGATGTTTTTGTTAAAAGCAAGATACTTGAGTTTTGTTTGCTTAAAATTTTAATAATGTTTTAGACTGACAAAAAACAAAACCACACAGTAAAGCATCTGAAGTCCTCATCTCTAGCTGTCTCTTACTTGAGTAAAGGTACCAGCACTACTTAAAGGCTAGACAAAATGTACATTTCAAATAGTGTCTAACAGTCGCTCTTTCATAGAGTACTGTAATGGTCAGAGCTGAAATGTACACTGAATCATGCAAAGATTTTTACGGGTAATAGCAGTAATCTTGCTTCTCCTATTTTAGTATAGTCAAATAGCCATTCTGCTATCTTAACAGTTGTCTTGATTAGCTGTGGTGAAGTCTGTTTATGTCAGGTTAAATCAGGTTGCCACAGAAGAAGCTAGCTTTTCTTAGTGTAAAGAAAAACAGCAGCAGTTTTGCACCCACGTCACTAGAACAGCTTGCTGAGGCATATTGACATACATCTTTTATCATCTGGCACAAGATGGTGCAAAAGCCCCCTTCCTGAAATCCAGTGCAAGCCCTGTATAATGCAGTCAGCTGCCAGCCTTTTAGCATGCACTGAACCATTATATTGTTTGTCATACAATTTCCATAAAGAGAACAGGGCTGATATATTCCTGAAAATATTATAGGCATATAGCATTTGCAGAAAGCATCTCTTTCACGAGACTAAATGCAATGTTCGTGTTGTTTTTGTGATTCAGAAACTTTCATCCAGGATGTATTGAAAGACCTGAAGAAACACAAGGTGAATGTGGATAATCTTAGTCCATTGGAGTTAGATGAGATAGCTGATATTATTACTGATGCCATTCAAGTTGCTGATGTGGAAAAAGAAAAGGAAAATGGAGTTGGAAAGGTTGAAGGAGCAAGGACAGAAGCAAAAGTCAAGGAAGTGGATGCCCAGGGAGGAACAAGAAAGGATGCCAATGTTAGCATTCAAGGTACTAGACCAAAAAGCTAAATATCACAAAAGTAATTTACACTCATTTTCCTCCTTATTTTGTATTTTAACAGTACAGACTGTTGCTCCCTCAACAGTTTTAAAAGAAACAGAACAGAGGAGAGTTTTGTGGTCTTGCTTTTTAAATCTCCTTCTTTACAATACTCCCCTATTATAAAGAATGGTAAAGATGAGGGAAATATCTTGGTGAACTCTGGATTTTCAAGTTCCATGAATAGGATAAACCTATTTTACATTCTGTTATGTTGAAAGGCAAATTTTGAGAGTAAGATATTAAAACAAAATGACGCCAACAATCATTTTTGTTCAAAAAATGTTGATGTAGTTTTTAAATGTATGGGTAATAAAACTGTGCTTTGCAACCATTAATTCTTTTCTGAACCATCATTAGCCATGAAAGAAACACTCAGGCAAGCAAATATATACCAGCAAAGTCTTCCTTTTTCTGCGTAGGCAGCTATGGAGTAGGGTTGTGCGAAGGCTCAGTTACTGATCTGATGGCCGAATCTCCGAATCTGAATCGAATCAGGAGACCCTTTAACTTCTTGAATCAAATCAGAACCATCTGATTTGACTCAGAGAGATCTGATGATTCGGACATAGACACAACTTTAAATGTTTTTTATACTTACCTCAAGGTACCAGGCGCCTTGTGAAGGCTGAGATGGTGGGGTGGATGGAGCATCCCATGGGAGCAGAGGGTGGTCTCCAGCATGCTCAGCGGAGGACCCAGAAGTGGACCAGAAGCACTTCCGGTCTACTTCTGGGTCGGCTATGGAGTGTGTGGGGCACACCCCCCTCCTTGCCCCCCAGCTTGGTGACTAGTGCCTTCTGGGTCTGGGGGGGCACCTGGGGTCCCCCTGCAGCCGATTGCCGAGCTGGGGGAGCACGGGGGGGGGGGTAGGTGTCCGCTGTTGAGCACACAGGGGGCCCCTCCACACTTCTGTGGGGTGCTCCATCCACCCCACCATTGCAGCATTCATGAGTCGTGCCTGGTACCTCGAGGTATGTAGAAAAAACATTTAAAGCTGTGTCTATGGCCGAATCACTGATTCTCTGAATCAGCATCAAATCTTCAGATTCAGCTGAATCAAATAAGGACAGTGATCTGAATCAATGAATCAAATCAGCATCCCCGATTTGGGCTGAATCCGAATCCGAATTGAATATCGCCCATTTCACACACCCCAACTATGGAGATTCATGATGTTTACTTGGTACTGGTCAGACACAGTTCTTCCTGGTGGTCCCAGGAATGCAAAAGTCACCTATAGTGATTACCATGAAAAGGTCTGCATTTGCCACAAAGTGGTATATGTACTATAGTTTCAACTTGTCCCACTAAAATAATAGAAGATATAGGCTAAGTACAGACATTCAAAAACTTTGAGCCTGAATTGATTCAACATTTGCAGGTTAGTCTAACCACTAGGTTGAACTGATTTGCAAGTGAATAGACATTCATTTTTTATTCCAGAAAATGCAGGCACATAACTGCAGTAGCTCAGGCCAGAAGCTGGGGGGGTGGGGAAGGGGGAGAGGAGGGGTGCTAGAATAAGTATTCCCTCCCTTCGGCACTGACTGAGGGAAGCTGACCTGAGGGGTGGGGCTTGGCCAGGCCCCTTTAGGCCTGAGTATGATTATGGAGAGGTTTAAACCTCCATCCTGGCCTGCAGGGATCCCAGCCCAGATGTGCCTGGAGGGGGAGAGGGGAAGGAGACCTTGCTAGGCTTCTTGGATGGTGGAGGGAAGAGGGAGTATGTCCAGATCCTGGCCCCCAGCTGACACCGAGCAGCGAGAGCAGGGGTCTGGCCCTGTGGAGGGGGAGGAGAAGGAAGGAAAGAGCCCTGCCCACTGCAGTGGTTCCCTGACAGCTTGGCCCAGCTTGGGCGTGGGGAGCTGGGAGCACAGGTTTTCCCTCTCTGCTCCACAGTGGGGCCTACCACTGTAGCTGTTCAGCCCTGAGCCCCAAGGTAGTGCTATACAGAGCCCCACCCTGAAGCGGTGGAGGAAGAGGAGTGAGGAGCCCTGTCCACCACAGCAGCTGCCTGACAGCCCGGCCCGGCCTGGGTGCAGGGAGCTGAGAGCATTCCAGCTGCACAGCTCCTGTGGCCCCAGCCCAAGCTGCAGCTGGCTGGGAAGGGCCCAGCCCCTCTGTGCTTGCCCTCAGCAGTGCTTGTGGGTTGGCCCATCTCAGGCAAGGTGGCCGGGCTGGGTTGGACCGTGGAAACAGGGCCCTTCCCAGCTGGCTGGGGCTTGGGCTGGGACTGTGGGAGACATACATCTGGATTGCTCCGGGCTCCCCACACCCAGGCTGGGCCCAGCTATCATGAAGCTGCAGCCAGATGGAAAGGGCCTGGCCCCTACAGTGCAACTTAGCCCAGCCTCTCTGTGCCTGCCTTAAGCAGTGCCTGCATCTGGCCGCACTCAGCCCGAACAGAGGTGGGCAGATAGTGGGGCTGGTTTGGGCTGGGCTGTGGGGGCAGGGTCCTTCCCAGCTGGCTGTGGCTCTGTGACAGCCCAGCCTGTCACACACAGGTGGCGGCTGGCTAGGCAGCAGCATGGAGGAGATACCACTGCAGATGTGAACAGGCACCTTAGCAGCCAGACTGGCCACATGGGATGTATTAATTGTGCCTGCAGCTGCCCTGGCTGGCTTGGAGGTGCCAGTGAGCCTGGAGCCCAACAGCTTCTCACTGCGGGGGATTCTGTATCTGTAGCCACCGCTGAGCCCCCTGCACAGTGCGGAAAAGCAAGCATCATGCAGATGTGACAGTAGCAGTGGCTGCCAACACACGAGTCCCCTTCCCAGCCAACTGTGGCACCATGATGGCCAGGCCCAGCTTGGGTGTGGGGAGCAGGGAGCAATCTGGCTGTACAGCTCCTGTAGCCCCAGCCTGAGCTGCAGCTGGCTGGGAAGGGCTGTGCCCCCATGGCCCAGCCCAGGATGTCTCCTCTTTACCCACCCTCAGCAGCGCCCTTGGGCCATCCCAGCTCAGCCTCCCCAGGGGTGAGGCAGGTAGATGGCAGGACTGTGCCAGCCAGCCAGCTCTGACGATGCTCCCACACCTGCTGCTGTAGCAGCAATCGTATGTGTGTGTGCGGGGGTGGTAACCTGACAGGCTGCTCCGCCCCAGCCAGGCAGACCCTGGCTGCGGTCCCCAAGGGGAGAGGGGAGGGAGGGGGAATAAACCCCCTTGCTGCCTCTTTATCCTTAGGGGGCCATGCTTGGCCAACATCTGGCCACACCCCCGCCCCTGCTCCAGGTAGAGAGCAAAGGGGTGGGGTTAGCCCTGCTGTCTGGAGCAGACAGCACAGCCCAGCCCGGGGATAAAAAGCATGCTGGGATGCTGAGGGACTCTGATTTAACTTAAACCAGGAAGGGTCTGGAATAGAAGTTCTATAAATTTGTTTGAGACAAATCAGTTAAGTCTGATACTACATTCAACCAGGTTTATCTTAAATTGGTTTCAGCCATTTTGAAACTGGTTTATGTGCACTGAACTTATGTTCTGTTACAGGTTTAAACCAGTTTCCCATCACTTAAATTGGTTTATGTGTAACTTCTGTTCCTAGCTGTAGTGTCCCAGATAGCACCATTCTTTTGGTATTTGTGACCAATATGAGTTTTAAGTTACTTTTTGGTTAAAAAGTGAACAAACAGTTCACTGTAAGGTTATAGGAAGACTTCTACTATTTTTGACAGTTCTTAAGGTTTTGTGAATCACCACCGTGTCTGTTTTGAAATTAAATAGTCCTGTGGGTTTTTCCTGAATCTCAGTGGAACAGATTATTGAGAACTACTTCTTATAACCTTTTTGTCTAAACAAACAACCCCCCCTCACCCCGCCCCATTTGACTTCCAGTAATGATGTGATTGGGAAGTACGGCTATGATTTACCTGTAGGATGTAGTGGATTTTGGAAGTCTCTTCAATATGTATGGAAATATGGCTTTTGATTCTTTCACAATAATGTACCATAGTCATACAAGCATTGATTCTCCAAACTGCACATGCACAATGTATATGTTGTGGCTTTTTGTTTATTGTATAAGTAAGATGCTGTAACTAGAGTAATTTTATTAATTTTTCTTAGTTATTGATAAACCAAAGTAAAGACATGCTATTGCTTTCATTATTACGGTGCACTCTTCATTTGATTATACAGTTCTATTGATTTTTGCACTAGTTTGCCATACAAATGGAGCCAAAGCAACAAATTGTATTGCTTAATTTTCAATAAGAATATAGAACTGCCACTTACTGGGTCAGATCAGGGTCCATTTTTTCCCAGGACCATGTCTTGCACAATAGCAGAAATTGGATATTCTTGGATAGGATACCTTGTATTTTCTACCCCCTGCTACTTTCCCACTGCAGCTTCCAGTATTCAGAGGTTAGTTTAATTAGACTTAACCAACTACTTAATGGTTTCATTTTATGTTCCCTGATTCTAGCATTGTATGAGAGAGTAAATAATGAATACCTATTCATTTTTTTCATTATTCAATATCTCGCAGACCTCTATAAGCTGAAAAGTGCTAGTCTGTTTAGACTCTCTTAATTGATATCTTATGAACTCAAACATTTTAATGTTTCACCTACTGTAAGTGGGTCATCATTAAAAGTTAAGCAGCCTATGAACAATACCTGAACAATCATTCAATCTGTTTATAACTTTTTATATACATTGTTCTTATCCTACAGATAATGAAGTACATGAAGGTGATTCCAGAACTAACAAAAAGGTAAGTACCTATTTGCTAAAAACAAATGCTCAACATCAGCATGTCAATAATAATTTGCCCTTAATTATTAT